TCCCCCTGCCCGCCCCCCCGCCCCGATCCCTCGGTTCCAGCCATGCCAGCCTCCTTGAACACCAGGCCTAGAAACACAGGCACACTCCCACCTCAGGCCCTCAGCCCTTGCAGTTCCCTCCAACTGGAATAGTCTATCATTAGCTATCTGCATGGCTCCTTCAGCTCTTTATTCAAATGCCACCTTCTCAGCGAGGCCATCCCTGGCCACCCTTCCTCAAGGTGCAATCACTCCCACTCTAAAAAAATCCCTTTTCTCTGATTTATTTTTCTCCCTAATGTGTATACTATATAACACACTCCACGTTTTAATTATTCATATTTTTTTTTTAATTTTCTGACTCCCTCACCAGAAAGTAAGCTCCAGGAGAGCAGGCATCTGTTTGTTTACTACTAAATACCCCTACTCAGTGCTGAGAAGATAGCAGGTGTTCGATAGATATTTCTAAATGTATAAGAGGCTGAATTGATATCATGCCTAAAGGAGGAGGAGGAAGATGAGGAGGGAGGGAGGAAGAGAAAGAGGGAGAAAGAAAAAAAAACAACTGAGAAACGCAAGCTTCTAACAAATATTGCAGCTGGGATACCCTTGGGTAGAAATCTAGGGAGTTTCCACCCCTGTTTTCCTCCTGACAATATGCTTAAAATACTTCTCCCAAACTCCAAAATTCAGAGCAACCCCAAAATAAATACTATTTCAAAAAATCAGGCAGTCAAATATATAAACACCTCAAGTAGCTTTGCATTCTCCCTCTCCCCCCTACATGGACCCCAAGAAAGAACAGCTGAGTCTATTTTCCACCTGGGTCTTCAGACAAATCAATTATCTGTATGCTCAACAGGTGCATTGAATGAACAGTTTCAGAATAAGGAGTGAAAATGTTATACTAGTGGAAAAAGACAGTCCTTGCTCACAGAAACTTCTATTTATACCCTTCCTAAAGCAGCACCCAGCAGGCCCTCATTTAAGGAAAAAAGAGAACACACTATGAAACTGACATTAAGTGGGATAAGACTTTCTGCCCTGAACTGTCTCACTTTGCTACTAGCTTGAGCATAAAACTAACCCTCAAAACAGGAATCAGCTACACCTGGCCATGCATGGCAAGCTCCTAAAGAACAGCAGCAAGTGCCTTCCCTGTACAGGTGAGCCTTAAAATCTCAGCGATGTCAGGGCACTTGAAAATCATCTCATCTTCCCTGCCCCCATGATTTTAGGGATGAGGAGGCTGGGCAAATGGCCTATCAACCTACAGGCCACACACCCCATTAGTGGCTGAGCCAGACCAGGAACCAACGCTCACATCCTCCGCGATGCCTGCTTCAGCCCCCACAGGCAGCGATTACTTTCATGTAAAATGTTTAGCCTATATGAAAAACATGTATTCAGACCCCACAGAGATGACGATCTACTTTCTAGGACATGCCAGTTCCTATACTCTAGGGAAAACAAGGTCTATTGGAAGACTCCCTCTGTGTCATGCCAAGTATGAAGGCCTTCTCTATTCCGATGCCATTCAAGGCGTGGAAATCACAGAAGCGTCTTCCATGAGCGTGGGGCACTTCCTGGACACCACAACAAAGCTTTCTTCCCGTCTGTATACTTCCCCAAACGGCATTTTGTTGTTGTTTTTTGTTTGTTTGTTTTAGAAGTTGTTAAAAGATATCCACGATAGAGGTGGCCTGAAGAGCCTCAGCAAATAGGCCAACAGAAATGTTTACCACTCCTAATTTGCTGTTACCCAGTATTTATCTGCTTTCACAGTGCACCAAGGATCTGACAACATGTCACTGATTAATAAATAGTAATTAAGTCTTACCACCTTATTAAGGGATAAGGTTAGGTTCCAGGATTCCCTCTCAAAGGAAGCCACACTGCAGCCCACAGGTTAAGTGAGAGGCTTGTCCTGAGGCCTGACTCAGATGTTCAGCTAACCCAGACTCAAACCACAGACACAGTGTTCCCCCCTTGTACTTCCTCAGCCTATTTTCCCACCCCCTTGGGCCAGCCTTCACTCCCCTTTATCACCACCACCCTCCAGCAAGTTCCTTCTGACAACCTGGACTAAACAGCTAGACCCTTAAGCTTCAATAATAAGTGTTCTGCTCTGTAAGGAAAAGTACCTGGATCAGGCAGCCAAATAGCAAATGACAAAGTTTGGCGTCAGGTCTTTACGATGCTTTATTTGAAAAGCATTTGAACATCGCAAGCTGACAGACCAGGTCCTGGCAGGGCTCTCCTGCCCTAGACTCTTTAAGGCGTAGAGCGAAGGTGTAACAGTGACTGGGCCTGCCGAGTGCCTTGGAAATACACCCCAGTTGTCATCGGTGATGCCTTTGATTCATGCCAGGTTTCATTACTCCATATGCACACTGATGGCACTGGAAATGACCTCTCTGTTTAGACTCAGGACGTGGCCCACAGTGAAACAGGCATCCTGAACTTCAGACCACTCCCAGAAAGTCCGAGGAGACAATGTTGATGGCCTAAAAGCTTTGAAATGTTACAGATTTAGATAACAGGTTACCCCACAACTATGTTTTCTTGACAATTTATATTAAGATTAGCTTTCCAAATACTAAAATTAAGTCACATTGTTATTAAACATTTTCCATTACATAATCTGCAAAGTGGCTCAATCCCATATGCATAATCATGACTTGTTCTCCCTAGATTCAAATATCAGCTCCACCACTTACTAACTAGCTCCAGTTTGGCAGGTCACTTTCTCTTGCCTAGTTTTCCCTTCTGCCAATGGGGATGACAGTAAATACGTACCTCATAAGGTTCTTATGAGAGTAAAATGAGTTAATACATGTAAGCACTTAGAATGATGCCCACTACTTTATTCATTTAATAAAGTCCCTCACCATTACTATTATCATTATGTCATTGAATAAAAACACTTTTTATCATGTGATCATTTGGTTCGTTCTAGAACTTCTGGCAGCACTACAGGACCTCAGTGGGAAGCTCCTTTTCACAGAATTCTTTTGAAGACAGAAGGCAAATCTTTGGGACCCCAACAGAGACCCATACCCAAGTTCACGGGAACGTGGCCGGAGTCCAGGGAGTTGTTTTGCAAGAGCCAAGAGCTTACAACCTCTCCGGCACCAGAAGACAAGTCCCATCCTCCCCAGCCGTGGAAACCACCGCAGTCACCCCCAGGCAGCTCCTTGATAGCAGAAGCCGCTCAATGAAGCCACAGCTCACTGAGCCTCAGCAGCCAGCCGCTGCAGAGGGGCCGCTCTGGGGCTCTCCCATGCAGGAGTCACTTAGGGGTCACTGCATCCGTCTGCCTGGAGGCTACAAGCAGAGGGACCCGTGTGAGGTGGTCAGGAGAGGACACACCATGCAAAGGGACGTATTCTCACATGGAGGAACTCCACTCTCTCCAGTCCCCTGAGCCACTGTCACATAATGGGTGTAGGGACCATAAGTAAGGGCACACTTTTAGTTTCTCTGTAACCTGAGCATCTCAGAATCACAACCCCAAACCCAAATAAACCTCAACGGTAATTTTTTTTAAGTTTTCTCCAAAATTGGCTCCTTAACTGACCGTGCAGAGAGGCAGCCTCAAACCCCTCATTATGAACAAGCTAAGTCTTCCCTGCTTTCACTGCAATACAGACAGACCGCGTAGACCCAGTGTAGACCCACAGGTGCCCTCCCTGAAGCAAAACAGCACAAAAGCTAGGAGACCCTATTCTCTACCTGAGCAAGTACGCTTCCCTAGGAATCAGAAGCATGGCTAAGAAGGCCACCTTCCCAGCTTTGCTCTGGGGCACCCACTGCAGATACGGGGGCGGGGGTGTAGCGAAAATGACCAAATAACTGCAGTGGACCCTGGGTGTGGGGCAGAAGACGATCTGGGTTTGGAAATGCAGTTCCAGAAAAGCAAACAAAAGCAGACAAGTAAATGAGGTAAAGGAAGGAAGGAAAGATGGAAGAGTAGACTGATGTATCTCCTACGAAACACCTCCTTTTTCCCTTTCCAGCCTAATCAACACCTCCATGAACCCCTGCAAAATGTCCAGTTCACGTAGCATGCGTGTGTTAATATACACTGACAGATACTAATCAGCAGCAGATATTGATCGCATGAGGAGAGAAAATAACTTGAACTTCAGATTCATTCAGCAGTGCCTGATTCTCTTTCACCATAAGCCTCCCCAAGTATTCTCCTGCGCTCAAAACAAAACAAACAAAAAAACAACTCCTGGGCAGAAAGGGAACAGCAGCCGATCAGAGCGGCACACGCTTGCTGCATTCATGCCATCGACTTCCGATTATTCCTTTCTTGAGACGCAGCCGCCAGCATCGAACTAAATACAGCCCTGGAGAGAAACAGCCTGCACAGCGACACTCATAGACCTTCCCTCGGAGACGTGCACGCCGGCTGAGCGGCTGAGCCTCTGCGAAACGGACACACGCTCAGGTGAGGCGCTGCCCACACGTGACACTGCACACTGCGAAATTCTCCCCTTCCACAATCGCGTGGCCATCTAAACTCTTGCCTACACCTAGTCCGTACAGATGCCAATTCTGTAAGAATACATGATGGAAAGACAGGAGTGGGAATGACTGAAGCCCGACTTCCTCATGACCACGTCTCTCAATGACACGGTGCGTCCCTACACTCGGTGAGTAAACGCGCACAGCCAGTAAACAGAAAATACACCATCTTAGTCCACAGTCGCGCGTGGGGAGAAAGAAGTCGAGAGGGCGGCGGTGTCAGGGAAAGTGTTAAGTCGCCTGCCGGCGGCGACTGTCCTCCCAAAGCCCAGCGCTCCCCCTCCCCGGAGCCGTGCCCACCCGCGCCCGGGAGCGCAGACCCACGCGTTGGGCGCGCGGGGTGCTCCGCACGGCCGAGAACCCACGATGAGAACGTGGCGACCAGCGGTTCCTGCAGCGGTGGCGGCGGCGTTGGTGACAGCGGAGCCGCCTAAGCACCCGCGGCCGCGGCCCCCTCCACCCTCTTCTCCCTGGTCCCCACTTACGTTCCGAGGGTCTCCTTGAACTCGAAAATTTTCTTGATGTCCTCCGCTTGCTTTTTCCAGGAGGAGCTGCTCTCGCAGTTCTCCCGGGCCATGGCAGACGAGGGGCGGCGTGCGCGGCGAGGCGGGGCGGCCGGGCTGCCGGGGTCGGGGCGGGCGCGCTGAGGAGGGGGCGCCGGCGGCGGTACGGGGGCGGCGGCGCGGGCGCAGCGGGGTCCCGGAGGGCCGGGGCCGGCGGCGCGGGGATGCTCGGCACGGCAGCCGGAGACTTGCTGCAGCGGCAGTGCTTCCTCTTCTGCAGTTTCCTCTTTCACTCTCGCCGCCGCCGCGGTCCCTCCCTGGCTCGTATTTCTGCTCGTCTCTGACACAGACTTCCTGCCGCCGCCGCCGCTCGCCCGGCTTCTTTGCCACGGGTTGCCAGCCTCACTTTCTGCTACTTTCTTGCCTCCCTTCTCCGCCTCCCAGCCGCCCGCCCGCTCCGTCCTCCTCCTCCTCCTCCTCCTCCTGCGGGCTCCCCGCCTCTCCGCGCGCCCAGGCCGCCACCCCCACCACGCCTCCCCGCCTCCCCGCCTGCCGCGCGCTGCCGCCTTCGGGGATGTCCTGAGCCCCGAGCGCGGAGGCACTACCCTCAGCCTCCTGGCCACGCTCCTGGCCGCCGCGTGCGCCTTGGAGCCTGAGAGAGGGCAGCTGTGGGGACCCGAGCAGGTGCCAGGCGCCGGCGCGCGTGCGGGAGGAGCCCAGCCCCTGGGGCGCTTTATTAATTCTGCAAAGTCAAGTCTCAGGGGCGCGAGGGCTTTCCTCCCCGGCGGCGGACGGGGGCGCCTCTGCGTCGTGCTCGGCGTCTGCGGGGCCGAGTGGGGGCGGAGGCACGGGGCCACCGGGATATTGGGCACCCCCTCTGCTTCCCGAGCCCTGGCCGGTGCGGTCTGGGGCCAGAGAAATCCCTCGCAGCGCTGGCCCAGGGGACGAGGGCCGGTTGTTATGGCGACCGAGGCGGCTGCCGGCGGCAGAGTGCGAGCGGAGGTGGGCGTTGACTCGGCTCCGCGGCGCCGGCCGCGGCGGGTGCTCCTAGAGCCAGTCAATCCCTCCCGGCTCGGCGACTGAAGCTAATTCGCATTGCACCAAAATCGGCGCTGGCGTCCTATTGTGGCCGGGGGAGGGGGCCTCTTGGCGACTAGAAAGCAGGGAAGTCTCGGGACCGGGACGGGCAGGACGTGCCGGGCGCTGCCTGATTTTCTCTTTGGGAGCAAAACTCCCAGGATTATTTGGCTTCTGGGCGGCGGGTGGGTTCGGCGTTGGCCCGGGGCTGGCTTCGTGCGCCTCTCGGGCTGTCCTGGCTCTTGTTCCTGCTTTTTCCCTCCTGGTTTCTCCTTTCGCTTCTCTGCGGCCTCTCAAGTCCAAAGACAGTGGAAAGTGAAGGTCTGCTGCACACCCTCCTTAACCCCACCCGGCTTGGTAGGGTACCCAGATGGCAAGACGTGTAGCTGGAAACATCCTTTCTTACGGGCTGGGGAATTAAACCCAGAGTTCCCCCGGCCTCCTTCTCGGAGGCGCACTTTGACTGCCCACCTTCTTCCCAGGTCCACCTGTCAGAGGCCATCCACGTGCACATCCCCCTGCCCCAACCTGCAAGGACTGCCCCTAGTTTCGGGAAATTAGTTTTCTTTTAACAAGACATCCCTCCCTTAGGGCCCCTAGGCTGGGTTGGGTAAACAGCCCTGACTCTTGATTGGAGACACCTGTCCCACTTTCCCAGCACTGTTCCAATTTCGCTGTAAAAGGGGGAAAAATTCTACTTCCTGAAAAAGAAACTTCATCCAGCACCTTCTGCCGGTTCTGACAACCTGACTGCAGGCTCCCTGCTCTCCAGGAAGCAGTCGGGGCCCACACCGGTCCGCAACCCCTTCCCTGACCCCGAGGAGGTCAGGAAATAACCTGGCTGTCCCATCCTGCCGCACCTCCAAGCTGGTTTGTCTTTCAGAGGCTGTTAGCTTAAGTCTCCTCAGGCTGAGGAAAGCAAATAGGGGATTTACCTGGCTGTTAGAAACACGGACTGAACTGGCCAACCCAACTTCCAAGATGGACCCTGAGGAACCTCTCTCAAAGTTAGGACACATCACCCAAATCCAAGGCCAACAGCACCTCCCTCAATAAGAAATAGATTTGAAGAACTGTAATATATTTTATTTGGGTTAATGGTTAGGTGTGAAGAGTAGGAACAAAGCATAACTGGCGTCCCAGTTGGCATCCTCCTGTGCCCCACCATAAACATCTTGTATTGTTTTCTCCTCCCTTCTCCCCACTTCTCTTACTTCTTAATCTGTTCTTTGCTCTTTATTTCCCTCCTTGCTGCTTTTGTTTTAAATATATTTTATTGATTACACTTTTACAGTTATCCCAATTATTTTCCCTTTGTCCACCTCTGCCCGGTCCCCCCTTCCCTCCAGCAATCCCCGCCCCACTCTTAATGTCCATGGGTTGTGCATCTAAGTTCTTTGGCTTTTTCCTCTCCTATACTATTCTTAACATTCCCCTATTTTGTTCCTAACAATTATGCTTCTTGATCCCTACACCATTTCCTCCTTTCTCTCCCCAGCTGATAACCCTCCAAATGATCCCCATACCTAGGAATCTAGTTCCTGTTCTGGTTGTTTGCTTAGTTTGCTTTTGTTTTTGTTACGATTTTTTAGATTCAGTTGTTGATAGTTGTGAGTTTGTTGTCATTTTAATGTTCATAGTTTTGATCTTCTTTTTCGTAGATAAGTCCCTTTAACGTTTCATATAATAAGGGCCTGGTGATGATGAATTCCTTTAGCTTTACCTCATCTGGGAAGCACTTTATCTGCCCTCCCATTCTAAATGATAGCTTTGCTGGATAGAGTAATCTTGGATGTAGGTCCTTGCGTTTCATCCCTTTGAATACTTCTTGCCAGCCCCTTCTTGTCTGCAAAGTTTCTTTTAAGAAATCAGCTGATGGTCTTATGGGAACTCCTTTGTGGGTAACTGTTTTTCTCTTGCTGCTTTTAAGAGTCTCTATCTTTCACCCTTGGTGATTTAATTATGACATGTCTTGGCATGGTTCTGTTTGGGTCAAACTTGATAGAAACTGTGCTTCTTGGACTTGCATTTCTATTCCTTTGCCAAATTATGGAAGTTTTCTTTCATTATTTTTTCAAATAGATTTCCAATTTCTTGCTTTTTCTCTTCTTCTGGCACCCCTGTGATGCAAATGTTGGTCCCCATGAAGTTGTCTGAGAGTCTGCTTACACCATCCTCCTTTTGGGGGATTCTTTTTTCTTCTTGTTCTGATGGGTGCTTTTTGCTTCCTTACATTCCAAATCATTGGTTCGATTCTCAGTTTAATCCACTCTACTGTGTTTCCCTGTAAATTGTTCTTTATTTCAATTAGCAAATTCTTTATTTCTGACTGACTCTCTTTTATGCTCTTGAGGTCCTCACTAAGTTCCTTGAACATATTCATGACCAGTGTTTTGAACTCTGCATCTGATAGATTGCTTATCCCCATTTTGTTTAGCTCTTTTCTGGAGTTTTGATCTTTTCTTTCATTTGGACCATGTTTCTTTGCCTCCGTGTTTTGGCAGCCTCCTTGTGTTTATTTCTATGTATTAGGTAGAGCTCCTTTAACTCTGTATCTTGGTAGTGTGTCCAAATGTAGTAGGTGTCCTATAGGGTGCAGTGGCTCAACCTCCCCTATCACCCGAGCTGAGTAATCGAGGCTCACCCTTTGTTTGGGCTGAGTACACCTTCCTCTTGTAGTTGAGCCTTGGTTGCTATTGGCAGATCAATGGGAGGGATTTACCCAGACCAGTCAACTGCAAGTTTTGGCTGTGACCACTGACCCCCAACTTCCGCTCTCTGTGGAGGGCGAGCTGTGCAGGGTCAGGGTGGCAGTGCTCCTCTGTGGTCTGTAACTGTCCACTGGGTGTGCTAACACTGGGATTTCCTGGATGGTGCAGGCCAAGGTCAGCACCTATCTGTGTTTTGCCTGGGGCCACCATTCCTGAGCTGTAAAGCAATCTGAGATGGCTGCTACTTGTGCTAGGTTTGGAGATTCCCAAGCAAAGCCAGGCTGTGAAACTAATCTGGCTGCTGCTAGTGCTCTTCCGAGAGCACTGAGGCCAGCTGTTGCTTGTCCGATAGGATTTAGGAAGTTGTGAAGCATGAGCCAAAACCAGCCATTCATATGGAAAAGCAGCTTGAGTAGGCCCACAATTTGGGCAGAGCAGAGTCTCTGGGGATCTCCAAGGCAGGTCAAATAGTGTTAGCCAGGTTGATGGAGTCTCAGATACAGCACCGGCCTGCTGGCTCTGAGGCTCTGTCGCAGGGAGCGCTCAGAAAAGGAACAGTGGCCTCTGCTCACCTTGATGCCAGACACCTCAGTTCCTCCCTCGGTGCCACTGGTGCCTTTCAAGCTGCTACCCCAGTGCCAGAGCTCAGAGGGAGTTGAGTCTGAGTAGGTAAATCCATGTTGGGTTTTTTAAGAGGACCTGCTTGGGGCCCCAGCAGTTTCTTCCACTGACTCAATCCCTCCTGGTTTTTGCCACCAGAAGTTGTGGGGATTTGTCTTCCTGGCACTGGAACCCTAGGCTGAGGGGCCTGGTGTGGAGCTGAGACTCCTTGCTCCCAAGATACCCCTGATTTTTATCCACCACACATAGGTGAAAGACGAGCCTGTTCCACATCTGTGCCCCTTCTACCAGTCTGTATGGATGTGGTTTCTTTAATTCCATAGTTGTCAGACTTCCATTCAATTCAATTTCTGTCATTTCTAAGTAATGGTGGTTCTATATTTTAGTTGGAATTTTGATGTGGTTTTGCAAAGAAGCAAGTCATGTCTGCCTATGCCACTATCTTCCCCCTGGCTTCTTACCTAAGGATCAGTGACTTTTAGGACTTGTAAATCAATGTTGTTTTTAACATGATGAACAGCTTATCCAGAATACCATTAATCTTTGAAAACTTTGGAAATTTTTAGCCCAGAAACATTGGTAAAAACTATTTTATTAGGTGACCTCATATAGATACACAGTACATGAAAAACTTATTTAAATCTCAACAAGAATTATTGCCTGGAAAATGTTCCCTTATTAAAAGTTTCCCATCAAATAGATTGTTTGACAACACTTTGATATTAGAGGCCTCTATTCACAAATGCTGCAAAATTTTTGGCATGTTAAGCCGTTTTCTTAGTTCTTAAAAATTGTAAGACAATTATTGAGCATATTTCCTACATACTGATGATTAACATAAGTCATTGATAGCGTACACTACAATAGCACCTAGGAAAAGCATGGATGAATGAGGAGTCACACAGAACTGCCACCTTTTGTAAAAAGCATGTTGTCAAGGAGGCAAAGCTGGGAAGAGCAATGCAACATGGCCGTTTCAGATCTCTAGTCAAAGAAGTAAA